AACATGTTAAATGTCTGGTTTAACATGGTAAATGTCTGGTTTAACATGGTAAATGTTTGGTTTAACATGGTAAATGTCTGGTTTAACATGTTAAATATCTGGTTTAACATGGTAAACATCTGGTTTAACATGTTAAATGTCTGGTTTAACATGGTAAATGTCTGGTTTAACATGGTAAATGTTTGGTTTAACATGGTAAATGTCTGGTTTAACATGGTAAATGTTTGGTTTAACATGTTAGGTGTCTGGTTTAACATGGTAAATGTCTGGTTTAACATGTTAAATATCTGGTTTAACATGGTAAACATATGGTTTACCATGTTAAATATCTGGTTTAACATGATAAATGTCTGGTTTAACATGGTAAAGGTTTTGTTTCACATGTTACATGTCTGGTTTAACATGTTAAATATCTGTTTTAACATGGTAAATGTCTATTTTAACAATGCAAATGTTTGTTTTAACATAGTAAATGCCTTGTTTAACATGTTAAATGTCTTGTTTAACATGGTAAAGTTTTGGTTTAACATGTTACATGTCTGGTTTAACATGTTAAATATCTGGTTTAACATGGTAAATGCCTGGTTTAACATGTTAAATATCTGGTTTAACATGTTAAATGTCTGGTTTAACATGGTAAAGGTTTGGTTTAACTTGTTACATGTCTGGTTTAACATGTTAAATATCTGGTTTAACATGGTAAATGTCTGGTTTAACATGGTAAATGTCTGGTTTAACATAGTGAGGGTTTGGTTTAACAAGTTAAATGTCTATTTTAACATGGTAAATGTCTTGTTTAACATGGTAAAGGTTTGGTTTAACATGCTAAATGCCTGGTTTAACATGTTAAATGTCAGGTTTAACATATTGCATGTCTGGTTTAACATGATAAAGGTTTGGTTTAACATGGTAAATGTTAGGTTTAAAATGTTAAATGTCTGGTTTAACATGGTAAGTGTTTGGTTTAACATGGTAAATGTCTGGTTTAACATATTGAATGTCTGGTTTAACATATTACTGTAAATGTCTGGTTTAACATGGTAAAGGTTTGGTTTAACATGTTACATGTCTGGTTTAACATGTTAAATATCTGGTTTAACATGTTAAATGTCTGGTTTAACATGGTAAATGTCTTGTTTAACAAGGTAAAGGTTTGGTTGAACATGGTAAATGTCTGGTTTAACATGGTAAAAGTTTGGTTTGACATGTTAAATGTCTGGTTTAACATGGTAAATGTCTGGTTTAACATATTAAATGTCTGGTTTAACATGGTAAAAGTTTGGTTTAACATGGTAAATGTCTGGTTTAACATGGTAAATGTCTGGTTTAACATGGTAACAGTTTGGTTTAACATGGTAAATGTCTGTTTTAACATGGTAACAGTTTGGTTTAACATGGTAAATGTCTGGTTCAACATGGTAAATGTCTGGTTTAACATAGTAAAGGTTTGGTTCAACATGTTAAATGTCTGGTTTAACATGGTAAATGTCTGGTTTAACATGGTAAATGTCTGGTTTAACATGGTAACAGTTTGGTTTAACATGGTAAATGACTGGTTGTGGCTTTTCTCTGTTTGACCTGACAGTTTCAGTTTTATCAGATAAAACAAGGACTGCTCATTTAACCTGACTCTCCCTGTCCCCCTGTCCTCCTGTGTCTCTCTGTGTCCCTGCAGTCCTGTCTGTGCTGCTGGTGTCCCTCAGGCTCTCTGTCCAGCAGCACGCTGCCTCTTCACCACGTGGCCAGTCTTCAGTACAAACACACCGACCCCTGAGGGCCCGGAGACCCTGATCGCGATTTAAATATCAGATTTTATTTAAATACCACAACTTCTTTGTCTCTGTTAGCAAAATATCCTACAAAACAATGGATGAACTTTAAAAGAAACCTTTAGAAAATAATCACTGGATGTTTGTTAAACTGTTTCAAGATGGCCGCCAGCAAACATGATGTATGATTCTGACTCTGAGGCTCAGAACAGAACCTGGAGTTATCCATCCATCCATTTTCTGTACACGCTTCTTCCTTTTCAGGGTCGCGTGGGTCACTGG